TCGACTACCTGCTTGGGGTCCGAGAGATGAGGATACTTGCTGGTTGAAGACCTTGGAAGTTATGGCTCAAGATCGATGTCAATGGCGGACGTGTGCATCGGTTTGTTGCGGTGTCCCTTCTTCCTCCCCCTAAAAAAGGAACAAACTGAAAAAAAATTTCAAAAACTGTGAGTGGTAAAATAGACAAAAAAAGAACATTTGTTGTTGATCTTTTCTTATTCATATTGTTTTCCTATTCAGCCATGATTCCGATGGCACAATATCTGTACCACAGATTGTGTATAATATATAATATATATAATGGTTGGAGGCCGTATCAGACACGGCCCAGTCACGAAGTTACTGGTGCTTTGTGCACTCGGTTTCTTGCATCTGGCTGTTAATTGTCGTTCCATTCTGATTCGTTTAGCGCACTTTCTTCTTGCTTCGATTTGCCTTTAATCGCACTATCCTGCCGTTGTTATGCATTATTATTCTGTCGGCTTGACTCGTGGCAACTGGATCCACCGCACTTCGATGCCCAGATCATAGTTGTCTAACTGAACTTCACGGAACTGTTGCCAATCCAGCTTTGGAATAGCTTGCATCATTCCCCTCGACGTCGGGTTTGCGTTTGAAATCCAGCTAGCGTCGGTTGAAATTGTCTCCGATGCACCAGTTTCTCAGCGGACTGATTTTTGTTCAATGCACCCTAATAAGTCAAAGTACCATCTGTCCCTTTTATACACACACACACACACCTTTGCTCTTGATACAATCTCACCTCGGCTATTATGCTTAGTTATCGGTCCAGCGAAAATTGCCGATTTGACTTTCTTCTCCAGTTTGCGTATTTTCCTTCCTTTTGACACTGTCTCTTTAGTGTAGTGTAGTGTGTCGATGTTGAAAATGTACCCACTTCGGTGTCTAGAGCATTTACTGACGTGATTTAGCCGAAGGCATGTCTTCAAGTCAGGTCAGCATAGACTTTATACATCTAACTAGGTGCATTATCAACGTTTACACTATCAGTGCGGATACACTACATGAATGGGACCAATTAAAATTACGTAAACACAGATGGAAAAATTAAATAGACCAAGGTATGTGGATGTCATTCAAGCAACCGCGTACGCAAAGCATTTGTGACTTTCATAAGGTCGACAAGAAAGCGTGAGAAACGAGGCAAGCTTGTGTTACGATGCGAAGAAGTGCGAGAGAATAAAATCCTAAATTTTGGGCGTGTGTGAGAATCAGTTAACGTTCGTGAGAGAGCATTATGTAGTGCATGAGAGCAGTCACTTTGGGCCTTAGAAGAAACCTTCATGCAAACGTCGAGATGCTTACAGGCAATAAAATCAACTATGGAATCTCTAGGCAAGCCATCGCATTTGGAAATATGTTTAATCGATTGCACAGTCAAAACATAGTCCTTCTGGGGAGGGTTACTCTAAAACAGTACAACCACTGGGTAGTATACATGTAGTTGAAAATCTTAAAATTAAACTTCCCGGTACCGAGAACTTCTCAAGTCGGAAAGCATAAAAAGATAATTTTCTGATTTTGTGTGTGATCTCCAAAATGTGCATGGACCAATAGAGGTTTTTGCGAAAAATAGACACTGAAACATTTGACATTGAATGAAATGGGAATAGTTTTGTTCTCCAGAGTTAATGGAGGTGAGGTATTTAAAATTACTCGCAATTTCTCAGAGCGGAGAAATGCAAATGTCACGTCAGTACAACTCAAAGCATTAAGGTCTAGGGACCTCGTTGAGGACCAACTCACGGTTCTCCTAAACTACATTGAAGCGTAGACGTCTCAGTGGTGGGAAATCTGCATCCCAAGACAACCTAGTCAGTGTATTTACATCTAATGAATGTTGTTGGTATGGGGAGACTTTCGACATATACAGAGAATAAAAGGGGTGAGAGAATCGCACCCTGCCAAACACCACAGTCAGTGCGGAGCATAGAGGAGCTTTTGCCGTTTAACTGGGTAAAATGTTTACGATCAGTGAAATAGTCACGCAACAAGTTACCAAGCTCAGGATGGACTCCGTTCAGATAAAATAGGTTAAGTAGAACTGATCGATCAAGACTCCCAAACGCATTTGAATAATAAAGAAAAAGAAGTCGTACGGACCTGCACTTTTATCCAGCACAGAGGTTATTGCATCAAGTGTGGAGCGCTGGGGTCTAAACGCAAACTAGTAGATATCATCAGCACGAGTGACAATGGAAACCTGTGAGACTAGTAGCTTTTCGAGGACTTTTAAGAGCACGGAAGTACAGGCAATAGGCCGGCACTTGTGAGGTTCCTTTTTAGGAATTGGCTGACCTCCAGAAGTCGGGGATAGCACTGGTCGTGAGACATTTAAAAAATATCAATCAGGGGTAATATAAGAGAATCGGCGCATGGCTTCAAAGGCACGGGTAATAAAAACCATCACGGCCACTAGATCTATTTGTATTTAGCTTCTTGAGTTCACTGTTGACGTCAGCTTGAACAAATAGGGCGGATGGGCTTCAAATAGAAGAAGGGAAATGGAAAAGCGTTCAACCGAGAGGAACTAAACTCAGAATTGAGTTTGTCAACCTCCTCGATTCCAGTACCTCCGATGGTACTTTTACCACAGATTCGCTTCAACGGTCTCCAGCGATCCCGGCAGTTCCTCTTTCCCAGTATCGTTTCAATATATAAACTGTTTAGTCCTGCTATTTCATCATTAGAACAAGTTTTGAAACCGTCAGGACTTAGCGTCATCGGCCCCCAGACAACTCACCGATACGCTTTGAAGTGGGATAGGTAGTGAAGGACAGAGCAGCGTTCATGTTAGACTAGCTTTGAGACAGAACAGGGCAGCACAATTCTATGCTCCTCGGAATGTGCACCGGAGGCCGTGAACGTGCCAATTTTTGACGATTTACTGATATTGCAATATCCCTTATTGTCATATCATTTTTCAGGGTAGGCATTTTGGCTAATATCCCATATACTCTCGATCCGATACCTGCTATCTCTAAATGTGATCAACCGATAGTGGAGCGCAGTGTTTTCGGGTGAGCAACTCCCAATATTCACTGGTTCAGCAGTCTCAGTGACCGAATTGGCGAACGAACATCCCAATGGTCCCGGGTTCAATGCCTGCTATCTCTACCCGGTGAAATGAGGCAGAAGCCAGTCATGAAGTGCAGTGTTTTCGGGCGAGCAACACCCACTATCCACTTGATGTTCATCATTTACGGTCCCAGTGATCAAATTGAGCTAGACTCACTTCAGTTCTTTTTTCGGCCCAGAGTGTGGTTGCGTATCGCAATCCATTTACACAACACGCGCTTCAAAATGACCACTCCAGTCCGTTATTATTATTATTATTATTATTATTATTATTATTATTATTATTTCAATGCTGGAGGTCGATTGTGCGACTGGATCCTCTCTCCTGTCACTTCTCGCTGTTTTCCTTTTGACAAACGCTGTCTGAGCAGACACCCCGCATTCAACCCATTCAGGTGGGTTACTCGTTACTCACAGGATCCCGCACCGTTCCTTCGTAAAAGTCGATCTCTACTTCCATGCCCTTTGTCACAGATGGATTCAATAATAGCATCGGGTTCAGGACACTTCCGTTACGAGAATTTTTTTAAAATATTTTTTATACACGTCAGCTAGAGGTGGGAAACACCTCAGCTACTGTGCCGCAATATATAAAGGAAAAAGCAAATAAATACAAAAGTTGCATGCCAGCTGAGCTACCAGCAACGGATAGGCATCGTTCCGGTAAGCTACCAGCTAGCTACTAGGCAAAAAGAAAAATTATTATGTTGTACGCTACGAAATGAGATTGTAGGTGGAGGGGGAGGCTAAAAGGGATGGGGAGGGACAAAGAAACTCACAGCAGGAACGCCACTGAGATCCGCTTTTTGCCATGTCAGCAAGCGTATCTAGCCAAACGTTTTCATCGTCTTTTGGGCCCCAAACAGGGAGCCGTGACGCTCCAACCGAGGTCAGCTCAGAAGTGAGGGCCTTCATTCCTCTGGACCATGTCATCGCTTTGTCACCCCTCCTCTTCTTCCATCCACATCCCCGGTGAGCAGACAGCGCACGTCGTGGAAGTCGGTGGGCTGGCATGCGCAACACGTGGCCCAGCCATCGGAGTCTGGTGCGTGAAATGACGGTGCTGAGCGTTTCAGTTCCTTTTCCTGTGCCGTAAACAAGGCGTCGAATACGCTTGTTGCTCACGCGATGTTCCCACCAGATGTGTGAGCCAAACTGCGAAGGCACCGGTGGTCGAACGTAACTAGCCTCTTCATGTCGGCCGATCTTAGGGGCCAGGTTTCGCAACCGTTACGAGAATACTGAATACTGGTTAGAAGCAGCAAGTAGAGTTTGCTCTGTGTAGCTGCATCAATCGTCGCTTATGGACAAATACCCGTTATATTTTGTTCCGTTCCATATATTTTGCGTCGGCAAAGTGTTCGTCAAGGAACTTCTTAAATTCGGACACTGATTTTGCCTCAACTACGTGCTGCGGCAGGTCGTTCTATACACTCACCACTGCGTTCGAAACATAGTTGGTGAGCGACCCGCTTCAAATTCGGTACGACAAGCTTATACCGGTGTCCTCGTGTGCAGCTTGGTGTGCGCAGATGAAGCAGTGGTCTTAACATAGGGTAATCACCCAAATGTAATATGCGGTGCGTCATGATGAGATCGACCCTCAGTCGACGATAAGCTAAGGTGTACAGCCCTAGTTTCTTACCCCGGTCTTAATACGGCACACCTCGTAAGTTGGGAATCAGCATGGTGGCTACATGCTGCACTCGCTCAAGCTTTTCTACCTCGCCCCGAGACAACAACTGTTGCTATCCTCAGTCTTCGAAGCACACTTTAGTGCGTGGGTCATGGTTTGTTACCTCCGTGCTGTGCAGCCACTGTCTACTAACATACAGCCACTCATCTGTCCATCCACTTTTGCTTGTTATTTTCTAATTTCCATCACTTTCTGGTCCTTTCAGAGCAATCCTGGTCTTTGAACTCCTCGCTGGCTTCCTACCTGTCGTTTGTGATTTTTATGAACTTGTTGACCGCAGGAGTGCTGTGCATTTTCAAAAACTTGGTAAGTCTGCTGTCTTCAGTGTCCTGCCCTTGATTATCTTTTGATTCCTTCTTGAGCACTCTTGTAGCATCTGCGTTGCATCAAATTCTTTTTCAGGCTTTTGGCATATCCACCGCATTTGTCGGCGTTTACCTCAGCCTTGGATGCTTCTGCTTGTTCCTCATTCCCAACGCTGTGCTCCCTCACATATTGATTGAACACTTTCTACGACTCGCTTGGATCGAGCAGCGTTTGGCCACTGTGCGAATCGACTTCTGTGGAGTATACGGTACGTCTTTGTGTGTGTGTGTGGAGTATTTAGCCAATGTTTTTTTAACCAAGAAGTAGTTTGTGGCGCAAAGTCCCCTAATTCTCTGTCAGATTCGTCAACATGTGCTTCCCATAACTTTGTACTCGGATCATCTGAACCTGATTGTATTCTGCCCACAGTTGCTCTGAGATTAGAACCTCTAATCTTTCACCGTGTGCGTTCCATCGGTTTCGCATTGAATGCCATCAATTCGCGTTTCCTTCTCGACGCTTTACATCATTTTATGGGTATGCGGTTATCCTTTTGCTGTGTCACCGCTGTCCTCATTTGATTTAGCCCTAAACAACTATTTTGTCTTTCGGGGACCCATCACACCCATGCCCATTCCCAGCGAAGATTTGGACCTCGACCTACATTTTGCGATGAATAGGTTATTATCACAGCTCAACGAAAGGTGTCGGCCGTCACGTTACACTTTATAGTGTAATAATCCACTACAATGCAACCACGAGCGATTATGCGCTGGTTGCAAGGGTGCGTAAGCTCCCGCAGCCCTTCAGAGCTTAGAGGAAGATGGAAAACAAGCACCTGGTCAACCGCACTACGGATCCATAAGAAGGATTCTAATCAGCATCCACGACAGCAGTGCATTAGCACTTTGGCCTGTTGCTTCGCTGTCGTGCCATCATGCAGACCAGGATACTACGGATAGCTCAGAGGGAGGGGGGTGGAGGGGAACCGAATCTAAAACCCAAATGTCCTAAGCAAACATTCAGGAGCAAGGCAACTACACCACATCAATAACACACAGTCACAAACAACTGGGTATTGTGTCAAGCTAATGCGCCAGTTTCATTACGCGTTTCACTAGCTCGGGTCATATTCTACCGTAATCTCGTCATAGGACACGCTTTAAACATGTATTCCGATCAGGAAACGAAAGATAACACGCCTCGGTTGTCGGCAGTTAATCATACCCTATAGTTCCTTGAGCCAAGCACAAAGTGAGTTTTGTGAACTCCAGTCTGGAGGAGGCGGAAGTGAACTAGCATCGCCCAGTTTAGTCGTCAATGACTCCGTTTCCCGCTACCAGGCGCAATTTTGCCCCTTGCATCATCCAACACAAGGTAATTCCAACGGGGCTCTTTTCAGTAAGCAGTGACCCAGAGCTCCTCGCAATTCATGCTCAAGCCAGCGCAACTTGTTCTGGGTTCGAACGTTGGGCGGTCGAAGAGGGACGGTGGTAATCGCCATGCTCAATTTGCTGCAACACAAGTGGCCCATCCTCTAAAATAAAGAAATACTAAATATTGCTTCAGCTTGTGAATAATCTCTGTTTCAGTAGTGAAAGGCGGTCCAGCAAACAAGCTCGCTTTTGGTGATTCATCGGCAGGCCAAAGATATCCTATGCAAACAGTTAAGAAACAATGAATTTAGTCACTAGAACTTGAAGGTGTCAAAATGCGATTTTTCACGCGGAAACTTCCCGGACGACAGCTGTCCATGCTGTGTGCTTAAACAATTCATCAAAGCTTTGGCTCCATTTGACAAGTAACTGCGGCCATTAAGCGTACAGTTCAGTGTTTATATACACGTCGCAATTCTGTATCGAACAGGATTGTACCCGTTGTTGTGGTGCGACTCTACCCAGCTATATCATCATCTCCTTTGCGTATATATATACATATACATATATATATATATATATATATATGTATATGTATACAGAGAGTTGTGCCCCATGCTGAGGCTGATGTTGCATTCTTGATGCCTTTTCACCACAGTTGGGCTAAACCAACTTACACTTAAACTAGGTCTTTTTAAGCTGGCTAAATTTCGTTCCACTTTATTTGGTTTGTTCTGCCTACCTGAATATTCTTCTATTAACCAACCACGTTGCTTACATTAATTGCGCTTATCTGCGGCAACTTTGTTGCATTGGTAGCATTTTTAAGTAATTTGTGGACGTTTCTTACTTATCACGGATTCGTTGCTAACCAAGTTACTTCATATGCTTATTTAGCTTAGAGTTATGCCACCGTATCTCTATGCACTATTGGATTTGTTTTATTTCATCTTATCGTTCCAGGTGATTGGCTGTGCCTTGATATCCCTTATGTGGCTGCGCTTGATGTGCATGTTGACAAGGTATCTACCTGTCTGTTACCCACTACCTCGTCCACACTGGCTCCAGGAGACAGCTGTTCGTTGCTGGAGGGGACGGGGTGCACGGTCCTTGTGGCCGTGCTAGGCTCCAAGAGTGGTTCCATGCAGTCAGTGTGGAGCGGACTACGGTCCAGCCACCACCTTGTGTGAGCTTGATTCCCCAAATACAACGTGCTTGTGTTTGGCTGTGAAAGAGTGTGGGCCGGCTCCGTTGATGAAACGTGGCTTCCATCCGCATGCCTCCCGGTCTTATTCCTTCGGGTTTACACTGGATATGGGGTGTGTGGTTGGAGCTGTGGGTGGTGCAGCGCAATCCACCCATGGTCCCTCTGTAGGTGCAGGCGTCCTGTGGCTGGCCACAGTGACAGGCAAATCCGAAACTGGATGCCGCCAACCATACATATATATATATATATATATATATATATATATATATATATATATATATATAAATATATATATATATATAGAGAGAGAGAGAGAGAGAGAGAGGGAGAGATCCTCCTAAGCTTCTCAAATCAGACGGGTTAATGCATGTATGTTAGATTAGCTTCGTTCCAGCATGCACCCCATTCGAGCATGGGGAGTTGCTAGTTTGATATTCTCAGTTTATCTGACGTGGAACGCGAGCGGCACAAGTTGTTCCCGACTTCCAGATGATGTGCCCGTTGTTCCCCCCTCAGTTAACTATTCTGACCATCTGAGTGAAAACCCTCCAAAACTCACTTCGGATTGTTCATAGTCACATATGTTACATCTGATGCAATCGAAAAACGCATATGACTTAACCTGCCCACTCCTGCGCCATGTTCCGATTATTTAGTCCAAGGCTCAAAATCTGGGTGACTGTTGAACAACCCTTTGCTTCTGAACATACGAGGAGATTATCTCCTTTGTCCACAAAACTATGATGCCAGTATTTCCTCCTTATCTCTATTTCCTCTTGTTTTCATCTCTTTATTTTTACATTGGTCGGAAATACATTACGCCTAACTTGATGCACTTTCCAATGATATGCTTAAATAACTCATGGAAGCGTGCCTCGGCTTCCGCATTAGATGTTTTAAATTTTTGCGCGCGATGGCACCTTTACTAAATAAATAAATTTATTGTCCTTGGCTACGCGAGGCACGCCTTTAAAGGCATGATCATGGTAATACCAATAATGTAATATGCAATAGTGTAATAGCATTTTTAGATATGTGGACCCATCCATGTCCGCAGGTAGGTATGTAGGTGTGTTGCTTGTGTTTGTAAATTTGTTGCTATTCTTTTGACCGCGTTCAATTGCCTCGCCAGTGTCTAACTGAATGTTTGACGTCTGTTCATTTGATAAGATTGTCCGAGTAAGCAATAGCAGTGACTGTAGTTGGTGGCGAGTCACAATCGCTATGTTGTTAAACAGACATTCGTGGCTTTTCACAGAGAAAACCATTGCCAGGTGAAACCCACCACGTCCTGGAACAATGCCCCCGAACTCTATTTGCCTGGACGTTTTAAACCCGAACCACCCAGGTGGCACCACGGGGAGGTCATTTGGCTAACGAGCCTTGTAGAACTGATCCTCTCCGTTATTATGCGTACATTACTGTGACCAGTCTTCCATTGTTGTCCCTCTCGCACTCTAGTTACGATGGTGATGTTCTTCTTGTTCATAGTGCAATTAACCTTGTGTATATGCTGTTTCGGCGTCTCAGCAAAAATAACGACGATCCCGAATCTCCACGACTAAATTCCTTCGAATTGAGTTACCAAACAACGCTGCACATTTTTTCGCTTCTATGTACGCCTTCACCAACGGATCCTCAGTATCTATCCGGTATGAATTCAGTCAGACACTCACATCTGTCTTACGTGATTACGCGTGGGCTTTTAATTGTTTTCAGTGATGCGAATGCTCAAAAGAGCTATTAATCAGCTTGCAAACATCAGGAAATACGTCTCTGTTAGGAGGATGCTTGACGAAGATGACGACTACCAAAGTACATCTACATTTTCTGCGAATTACTCGCTGTCATACAACCTCCGTGGTCTTCTCACTGAGGAATCTTAATATGAAGGAAAATAGTAAGGATCAGAATGCCCTATATTTCCAACAGTGCGCGGTCACACCCAGGTTGTTAAGGCTTCTTTAAAACCTTCAGCCCCACTTCCTAATCGACTGTAGTCCCCGGATAACACAAATGTGAAATAAGCAGTTCAATTTGGGAACGACTGACGGTCGCGGGCCGTTTCGGGTGGTTTCCGGGCCAACAGCAGCGCCTATTCTAGGCGTCAGGTACTTCTTTTCTGCCGATTCAACGATTACCCATCAAGCTCTTCGCCACCTAACAGCGAGCGAACAACAAACCCCTCCTCAGCACTTGATACATAAGCATAACTAGCACGTTCCCAAAGGAACACAACTTTTACTGTTTTGTTTGTCTGTCTAACCTGCTTGTTATAGTCCTCAAGATTGAGTTGCTTTCTGTTATTGGTTGTTTTGGGTCCAACAGCTCCGATTGATCAGGAATGCAAAATTTCGGTCACCAGTTTAATGGCGCCAATTGTAAGAAAATGTACGACTCAAACTAGCGTTATTTATATGTTACTCATGAGTAGCAGGATTTTAGGTGTAATCTTCTAAGGTATTCATCCCAGTAGTTAATAAGCTGCGTAGCACAACCTAGTCCGGAAAAGCACCAGACGCGTTTCGCCCTATTGCGGCTCGTCAGTGTTACGCATTCCCTCGGTCCCTTACTGGAGCTTGAACCCATGACCGCTAGAGGCAGCTGCAAACTAGCCAGCAGCTTAAGCCATTGAGCCATGGTGGACTTCGGCTGAGCTACATAATTTGCAAGCTAATTGGGATAAAGCATCACCTATCTTCCACTGTCACTGACAGTGGCTAGCCTGCGAGGTGATGATGTTCTCTCGCTAGACGCCAAGTCCATTGCATTTGGAACTAGGACAGGCTTTTATTATATTATTTTTATTATATTACTTGGGCGTAGCAGGATTTTACACGTACTCTTTTAAGGTTTTTATTTATTTTTATGTTCCCGGTTACCTTGAGTATTTTCTGTTCTCTACTCTTCCTTATTTACCACTGTTATCACCAACTTGTCCGATAAGAATCCTCTTGTCGCCCAAGACGATACTTCCACTAGGTTTCGGAAAATTCGAATTTCGGTCGATAAAGGTGTCTCAGAACTTAGTCCTTCAGGGACAAACGCGTTATTCAGCAAAGCGACCTCAGCGAAAATGCTAGCATGACAAGCATGTAAGAACCTCAATATAACTAACTAAATCATTGCCATAACTAACGACGCTGCTGCGCTCATGAGATTCTCCCTTTGAATCAGTTACACAAACCTGCTCCAGCGAACCAATCCGCGCGTAGACGAAATATACACAGGCGTCCAATCAACTGCCGCTTGTTTGCACAATCCCATCACAATAGGGTTTCTTGACCCATTCTTTGGGAGTACCCATCCAACGCTACTAATCTAAGCACTATCGCAATTTGACCAGTATCTGAGGCAGGTGTGCTCGCTCCCAGAATTACACTCTACGGCCGAGTATCTCCTTTTCTGGACGTTTTAGGCATAGATGGTGGAGTGGCGTAGTGGTGAAGAAACCGACCGACAGCCTCTGCACTTTTAGAACGGATCTAGGTTCTGTCATATCTACCTAACTAGTGCAGTGGGTAGTTCGCTCGCTCTTCCTTTGCGCGGAACGCGCCCATTGCTCAAGCGGTGTTCCCACCAGACATGGGCTAAACTACGAAGACGGCGATGATCTGTAGACTTGATGGGTCAAGTTTGGCAACCATACAAAAGGGTTGAACGAACGGCTACATTGTAAACTCTGCGCTTCAGGGCGAGTAATATCACACCGGCGCCATGCGTAGCGGAGATTGGCGAAAGCGTCTTAAGCTTTTGTTAGCCGGTTTGGGACCTCATCTTCCAATCCACTGGCGCTGATATGGTTGTCTTAATGCTTGAATTTCTGGACGAAAGGTGGCAGCTAGCAACCTGGTCTCACATCGCTGGAGATATTGAAGGGCGGCGACAGTTTGCCATAAGCCCTCACTCTTCCCGAACTTTGCGTGTACAGCGCTTTGATAATGTTTACGTATTTATCAGATACACCTTTTCTCATCAGACAGTCCTAAAGGGCACATCGATCAGCCGAATCGAAGGCACCTTTGTTGTCGAGAAACACGACTACGATGGGTCGCAAATGAATATGGCGGTGCTCCAACAATTGGTGTAGTGTGAAGATGTGATCAATACATCCAGGACTTCGATGAAACTCGGCTTGCTCCTCACGTATCTGGCTTTCATAGGTGCCAGCAAGTCTATGGAGAACGACAGAGGCGAGTATCTTAGAAGCAGTTAAGATCAAACTGATCCATCTATGATTGCCGCCTTTGGAACGTGAGCCCCTTCTAAAATTGGAACCCCAGTCTATTGGGACAGTTCCCTGCTCCCACTGATTCATAAGTATGTTGTTCAGGTCATCTACCAGAGGAGGACTCCCGAATTTGAATCGAGCGGGTAATCCAAACCCAACTTTGAATTCCTTAACGCTGTGCTAATCATTGCTCACGGATCTTAGTGACATGGTGATCAAGACATCTGCCGTTAATCACTAGGCCTCGATTTTCACTCCACAGACAAATCTGTGCGATTTCTCGTGACCAAGCTACATGCACTTCTGGTGACCAAACGTCTGCAAGCACATTCCAAGCTCGGTGAACACATGGATTGTTAACTCGAAGCTTACAGTACTGATCAAGTGACCATGCGACACCTCATTAGTGTACCACTTGAATTCGGACCGTATACACTGGTTAAGAAACTATGTACTCCACCTCCTGCTCGCACTGGCTGCATTGGCACGTACTGGTTACCAATACTGCACCGGGTTGGGTCAAACTTCGGGACAATCTTTTTGATGGCCTAGCGTGCAGAAACTCACCGATGAGCTAACTAGTATTCGAGATTGTCAGCGTTTTGTGCTTTGTTCCAATCATTAGGACTATTTTTTCATGCGAAATTTTCTCTTTACCAACTTCCAAATAGCTAGAAGACTGTTGTGTTCAGTCTCTCCTTTCAGATTCTCGAACACTTTATCTGTTATCTTTATTTCTTGTTCATTCCTTCTACATCATTATTCTTGTTATACTTTTTTTTCTTTAATCTGTTGTTTCTATTCGTGCTGCGTCATCCTACGTGCATTTTACTTTCTTTTAATTACAAGCGTGTCAGTGCACCCGTGGAGATTGTCGTAAGGTTCATTTGTAACTTCAACGCACATCCATTCGCCAGAAGCACCGACGTGTCCCATTTAAGTCCATGAATTGTGTTCTTTCACTTGATCCCCTCCGAAAAATTGCTTATATTTTGGAAGTCGCTTCTCTTGCGATTTGACCAATCGCTCAGTTCGCATCAATATTATTTTGTCTTGTGCGCTGTTTTCTTGTGACACTTGATGGAATTCCTCTCAATGATTTCCCTGAACATCTCTTGTTATTTCACTTTCATCACTGTTGTTTTTTCTTCATATTCTAGATATTCTAATCTTCGTAGCCTGGACTGTTGGAACAGTGTTATTTGGCCTTCTCACTCTGGGTCTTGTACGCTTGCAAGACGCTCGTGAACTCGCCGAGGCCCAACATAGTCGCCCCGATTTTCAACTGTCTGACCCCAAAGAGTCTCGCCCGCCTCCTGCAGTCCCACCAGATACGGAGGTTGTCGCATTATCACATGATTTATTAAGTCTGCCCAACCGATTCACTGTGCCCACAAAAACAGCGCTTGTTGAAGGGGGACCCGAATCAGACTTGGCACATGACTCTTTAGCACGAACCGGCTGTGGTGGAATTGAGAATTGTGCGTTCAGCGATTTGGAGTCTTTTCCGTCCAGTTCTCATCTCCTCTCAGAACGTTCACATCTGTTGCCTCGGTTAGTTTCATTGATTGGCATATCTTTTTTCATTGTTGGCATCCACCTTGATTAACTTCCCGCAGGACAACTCACATGTTCATCTGTTGAACTTTAAACACAAACTGCCTGGATCATCTTATTCGCATACCCACTGATCTCCCACGCTAGAAGATGTACATCTGTGTTGCTCCATCGATATAGTTCGGGTACACACACACACACACACACACACACGTGGGATGCCATTTACTACCGCGCATTGTCAACAAAATTCAGTTTTATGACCGTCTTCGCAAGTGCGATACGCTCTCGAAATCTGAAAAGCATTACATTGTCGTTCTGTTCTCTCCGCACTCGTCGGTTGTGAGCATCCATCGGCTTCATCATCAAGATCCGAACCCATGAACACTAGCGACTTCCACTGTTAGCCAGCAGCTTATGGACACTAAACCAATCGGTATCGGGATAAACGAGTACTTATGCCTTGATGAAGTATCATGACTGATCGTTGTTTGACGTCTTACTGGATGCGGTTCTAGAAATCGCTTAAAATACTCGCATGCAGCACTCTGTGACGACTCACCGGCACGCATGAGAATCTTGGCTCACTCCCACTCCGGTGCTGGGTCCACAGGTCACAGTCGCACACCTTACTGAGTGTTTGAACATTTCAACTCTAGCAGAATGCCCATTTAATACGTTAGGTTCAGAATGAGAAACAAAACACGAAACTTTAAGCGAACAATTGTTTTCGATTAATTCTTCTTCAGGCTCATACAATAATATACGTTAAGGTAAGGTCTGTTGCAATCGTCAGCATAACAAAGAAACAATTGATCAGAAAATTTGACTTGTGATCATGATGGCAGTCATCTGATCACATGACTGAAGTCAGGTGGAGTTGCGGAGTGCCGTCACTTCCTTCCCGTCTGGTGGTCGGCCAGGGAAATTGTCGTGTTTGTATCATCTTCTATTGGACACACAAGTCCGGGTTTGTCAGATGTATGCATATTGCCTCAGCGGTGGCAGGTAGGCTTGCTCTTACACGATGGTTTTGCCTTGGTGGCATTTAGTAGAGAATCTGAAAAAATGTTTGTTTGTTTATCCGGTGGCCTGTGTTGATTAGATAGTTTGTAATCGCACTACGTGTGCCCCATGCCGAGGCTGATGTTGCATTCTTGATGCTTCTTCACCGCAGTTGGGCTAAACCAACTTACACTTAAACTAGGTCTTTTTAAGCTGGCTAAATTTCATTCCGCTTTATTTGGTTTGTTCTGCCTCCCTGAATAATGTTCTATTAACTGGCCATGTTGCTTACACTAATTGCGCTTATCTTCGGTAATTTTGTTGCGTTTTGTAGCATTTTTAAGTAACTTGTGGACATTTCTTACTTACCGCGGATTCGTTGCTAACCAACTTACTTCATATGCTAATTTAGCGAAGAGTTATGCCACCGTATCTGTATGCATTATTGGATTTATTTTATTTCATCTTGTCGTTTAATGTGAATGCCTGTTGCGTGCTATCCCCGGTGTGGATGCGCTTGATGTGCATGTTGACAAGGTGCCTACCTGTCCATTACCCACTACCTCGTTCATACTGGTTCCAGGAGACACTTGGTCGTTGCTGGAATGGACGGGGTGCACGGTCCTTGTGACCGTGCTAGGCTCGAAGAGTGATTCCATGCACTCAGTGTGGAGCGGACTACGGTCCAGCCACCGCCTTGTGTGCGGTTGGTTCCCAAATACAGCGTGCTTGTGTTTGCCTGTGAAGCAGTGTGGGCCAGCTCCGTTGATGAAACGTGACTCCCATCCGCATGCCTCCCGGTCTTATTCCTTCGGGTTTACACTGGATATGGGGTGTGTGGATGGAGCTGTGGGTGGTGCAGCGCAAGCCATCCATGGTCCCTCTGTAGGCGCAGGCGTCCTGTAGCTGGCCACAGTGACAGGCAAATCCGAAACCAGATGCCGCCAACCAATCGCACTGCAATTTGTCCTGTTCTCGCGATTGTAGAGCCAATCTGGGAGGTGTTCCTTAACTTTTTTGCCTAAATGCCTGATCGTCCGTCCAATGTACTTGGCCCCGCACGGGAAGGTGAATCGATAAATTAACATTGGTTGCAGTTGATCAGGCACTCGGTCTTTGGAGCTTGGAACAATTTAAGGTCTGCTCGTGAAACCACATTCTTCTGAGCCGTATTAAAACACTTTTTGCAGCTTTGCTTTAGTCGACGTGTGCATATATCAGCCGCACTATTTCATTTGAATCGAAGAGTCATGTAAAGCTGTTTCTTTTCAACGGTCTGTTTTGGTATGCATCACCTTATATGGGTCTCGATAAATCCCTCCGGATATCCATTTTCGAGAAGCGTTTCTTTGATTCGTACAAGTTCAGCTTTTGTGGTGTCTTCGCTGCTGATTTTCTATGCCCGATCGCTTAGTGTTCGCATTAGCGTTTATTTTTGGTTGAGTGGGGCGAAGCTATGAAAGTTCATGTATTGTCCCGTCCAGTATGGTTTCCTGTATACTTTTCTTTGGCTTTATCCTTCGGTTCTTCTCATAAGACTTGCATCCAAACAACTCATTTCATTGTTGTTTTCTTCCTCAGCTGTAAATGCAGCATTAGGGTGCGTATATATATATTTATTCACAGTCTGTTAACAGACATTGTGCCATCAGAACCATGGCAGAAGAAAAAGGTGAAGAAGATGGGGACACTAATGCGATTAAAAATATGGGAAACGAATTTTTTTGGTTTTACACACGCCATTTTGTATTTTTTGTTTTGTTTTGTGAGTTTTTGTGTGTATCAAAGGGATGGTGAAATTGCGGAACAACATTGCCGCCACTGATGTCTGTTGCGGACCATGACGTCCAATGTTTCTAACCACTGCAATTCAGCATCTCGTGGTCCCCAACCTGGAAGGCGGACTGGTCCGACTGCTGCCAAACTTGAGGTCGCCTTCTTCATACTCCTTCTCCACGTCATCGGCTGTCCACCGCGGCACTTTTTCCAATCGCTCCCTGGGAGTGCAAATAGCGCTCGACGTGGAAGGCGATGGGCTGACATGCGCAGAACATGCCCGAGCCAGCGCATGCGATGTCGGAGAATAACGTCTTGAAGACTGGCACTATTCGCCTCAAGCACGCGGTCTCTCACCTCTGCGTTGCTTACGTGGTGTTGCCACCACACCCTAGCAATCCTTCGTAGACAGCGATTATCAAAGACTGATAGCCGCTTCATATCTTCCGAGCGAATAGGCCAAGTCTCACAGCCGTACAAGAGTACTGCACGGACGGAAGCATTGTACATCCTGCCCTTGAGCTTGAGAGTGACATCACGACGACGCCATAGATGTCTCAGTTTGATGAATGCAAGGCGGGCCTTTGCAATCCGTTGTGAGACTTCATCTCCAACACCGCCACCAGCCGTGATGCAACTCCCTAGGTAAGTGAAGCAAGGGACTTGCTCCAGAACATGTCCAGCAATGGTGAGCGCGGGTTCAGGCACCTGCCAATCCTGGAGCAGCGTTTTACATTTTCCCGGAGTGAAGCACAGGCCGTACTTAGACGCCTCCATCGCCAAGCGGTCCAGAGCGTTCTGGACGGATTGTGGGTCGTCCCCCAGCAAGGCGATATCATCGGCATAGTCCAAGTCCGTGAGTCTGTCTCCAGGGAGAAGCTCAACACCGCAGTCCTGGACACCTTCCAGTGCTCTTTGGAGAACATCTTCGATGGCGAAATTGAAGAGCAAAGGTGAAATAGGGCAACCTTGGCGAACACCGCTGGCCACAGCGAATGAAGAGGAGTGCGTGATTAGGGTGCGTACTGTTGAGACAGTCGCTTATATCCTGGGGTTTGGTGGTCCGATCACTTATGCAAAACATATCATCCCCATAACGCCGATAGAATTTCCGAATTTCAATGGACCGCTTTCTAGCATTCTTATATAAATATCCGCTAACAATGGACCAAGCGGAGATCCCATTGCGACGCCATCAACTTGTCTATAAAACTCGCTATTGAATTGAAATTGAACGTTGTAGGTACATCTGAGTATCAGTTGTTTCAATTGGTTGGTTCGTATACCGATGTTTATACCATGTTGGTCAATCTACGAGCACAGGTGGTTAACTGTTTCTATCAGAAACACATTGGTAAACAATGAGACACCGTCTTAGGAAAGCATCCGATATTCTTGGACATTCACATCTCGAATTTCGTTGACGAACTGGAATGTGTCTGCCACTCTCTGAGGAGCAATCATTTGCCTGATGGGATTCAGCATTTTTTGTCAGCCACTGCGCAATGTTGTGGTACGGTGAATTCCTCATATCTGGTATGGGTCTCAATGCTGTGTCAAATTTATGTATTTTTGGGAGACCATAAAGACGAGGAGTAGTGGAGCCTATGGGACGAAGTCGGTCGTACGTTTCTTTGGTGATGGCGCCGTCGTTCACTACGGATTTTAAACACCTGACAAATTGGTTTTCTACGCAGTCTCTTTCATATTTCTGTCGTTCACCTTTCACAAAAAATGAAGTATCCGAAAGTATCCTTTTCATTTTCTTTATGTAATCAGCACAATCCCAAATCCTTTGTCTGGTTTAATTATGATGAGATCCTCGATTTTCTTAAACTCTCTCACCGCTTCAAGTTGTCGACACGATCTAGTGTCGAAACGCCGTGCGGCATGTGTGTTCGGCGAATTCCTCATCTCTAGTATGAGTCTTAATGGTGTGCCAGGTTTATGTATTTTTGCAAGGCCATAAAGGCGAGGAGTGATGGAGCCTATGGCACAAAGTTGCTCGTACGTTTCTTTGGTGATGGCTGCCAAGCACCGTATCATAGCATTCTTCCTTCACTTGAACATTGCCTTTGATTTCTTTTACTCGAACCGGTCAGTGGTGCTTTTTCGCTTTTGAAGATTTGTCTGGAAATTTTCTCTTGCTGCACAACACAACTACCTAGAAGCTGTTCCCTGAGTTCAGTACTGCAGCTAAGAGTGTATCGAACCTT